ACAAGGTAAGAAATTGCATTTCCTTTTTGGTGCCTCTCCCTTGCTCTATCTAGCTATCTCTCTCTTTTAATGGAAGGGTGTTGATCTCAGGAACAATTCTGATAAATGGCAAGCAAGGATTGGAAAGGGCACGTCTGCTGATGGAATTTACCTTGGAACCTTTGGTTAGTCTCTATGGCATTATGTTATGACTCAAGTTAAATTTTAGTTATCTTGCCATAAAGTCTTACAATCTATAATCACACGACATTTGTTTATAGTCTTTTGTTGAAAGAAAAGAGTAAATCGATTACTGCAAAGTAAATTTGTGAGAGCTTATTAGAAGATAAGATTGTAGCTAGGTCATTAAGTTTGACTGACGACACTTCTTTTCTTTTTTGGTTGATATAATAGATACTGAAGAAGGAGCAGCTAGAGCATATGATATTGCAGCCATTAGGATCAGAGGAAAAAATGCTGTTCTCAATTTCGACACAAGTGAGTACGATCTCAAGAGCATTTATGAAAGTGCAAAGCTACCAATTGGGAAAGGTGCTTCGAAGCAGGTGAAGCAGTTCACTGTTGACGTTCTTCACAAAAGATTATATCCAAAACTTATCTCATGCCAATCGCCAAATAGCCCCGACAACCTTCGTGCCTCTCCACCACCCCTATCCTCCGGACAGCACCAAACCTTAACAGATTCTGTCCTGCCAACAAACCCTAACCCAAATGATATCTTATTCAGTTATGATGATATCGACAAATTCTTATATACTGATGACTTTCCAAGTCATATGGATCAAAACCCTGGCTCTTCTCAATCTCGTGGCATCTCTCAATCTCATGGCATCAAAAACCATAATCCTGGAACAGGCCATACTTCACATGGCATCTCTCAATCTCATGCCATCAAAAACCCTAATCATGGAACAGGCCATACTTCATGCGATAATGGGAATTTTATGTCAACGTCTAATGGCATCAAAAACCCCAATCTTGGAACAGGCTATACTTCATGTGGCATCTCTCAATCTCGTGGCATCAAAAACCCTATTCTTGGAACAGGCCATTCTTCATGTGATATTGGGAATTTTATGTCAACGTCTCATGGCATCAGAAACCCCAGTCTTGAAACAAGCCATACTTCATGTGATATTGGGAATTTTATGTCAACGTCTCATGGCATCAAAAACCCCAATCTTGGAACAGGTCATACTTCATGTGGCATTTCTCAATCTCATGGCATCAAAAACTTTATGGGGATTCCGACTGTGAGGGAGAGTGGACAGACTTCTTCAGGAGGCAACAGTTATGTCAACTTCTTCGGCAAAGAACCGGCTATGGAACCATCGTCGATAAGGAACAGCGAAGATGATGGTTATGTTCCTTATTCTTGGTTGGACATATACTTGATGAACAATGGTTTCTAATTAATATTAAACTCTGGAAAAGGTCCATAGGGAGATAAGGGTTGAGACTTCATGAGTGTATGTATATATGTGCCAGCGATGTGCAAGTAAAGCAACCTAGTTAATAAGTTTTTTTATTGTGTGGAATTAATGTTGGGAACATAATGTAAATTTATGTTATTGTTATAAGGCCAGTAGTATTTATTAGTCAAAGTCCCATCATCTAAACAATCACTACAAAAAAATAGATATTTTATAATGGCAAAATTAGTCACAAAATAAAATTTGAATTTTATTTTTCTACCAAAAAAAAAAAACACAAATTTTATTTGTAACCAATAATATAAGTTTTTGTAACAAATTTTCCATCACAAAATGTTCCTTTTCTTATAGTGAATAACATTGTTTTAAATATTCATAACATCATTTGAATTCATTTAAAAGTCAAAATTGATAAATACTATTACCGTATATGTTATATATATTTATTTCTTTATAGAAGTAGTCTGCCAAAAGTAAGTCATCCATACTATTAAACCCAAGGTTTTTAAAATCGGACCGGATCGGCCGATTGAATCGGTCGGATCGATATCCAGTAATGAAAATGACTCGGTTCATATAAAAAAATCGTTTGAGGTCAAAATCGGTCAAAACCATTTCAAACCGATCAAAACCGATGAAACCAGTAGAATCGAAAAAACCATCGGTTCAATTTCTAATGCAATTTTCTTTTTATTTTTTCCAATTTCACCCTCACCATTCCTTTCTTATACCGATTTTAACCTTTAATTTTAATGAAATTACAAAATTACTTATCTCTCTCATCAAATTTCCCTTGTTATTTGAACCAATCGGTTCACCGGTTCAATCGATTGAACCGATCAAACCAAAAACCAGACCTAAAAATGGTTCAATGACCGGTCCGATTTTAAAAACCTTGATTAAACCCATTGAATAACCTCCATACAATACGAGAACTAAACTACCTTAAGGCTTATTTGGTGCAGTTTGTTGGAATTTTTGTTTTTTTAATGCTGTTTATGAGTAATAAATTTAAATTTTTATTAGAAGAAAAATTTTAAAATTACTTTTAAAGATAAGAAAAAGTGAGTAAAAAGTGAATTAAAAAAATATTGTAAAAAGCTTAAATTTGAAACTTTTGAACTTTTACTGTTTGAAATATTTTTAAAATTAAAAAATATTTTTAAAATATAAATTTTTTAAAAAAAATTTAAACTTATAAAATATGAATAGTATAAAAAACTGAAACTTTTGAAAGTACTACCAAACAGTCCCTTAATCACCTAGAGGGTGGGGGAACAAAACTCTTTACCAATGCCTAGAGGGAAGAAACGGGGTCAGACGTCAATAAATGTCTAGGCCCTGGATTGGACCAGGCTAAAATATTTTAGGCCTATAAATTAAACCCATTATGGAGGGTTACAATATATTGGGCCTTTCGTTACTGTCAATCAAAAATTGGGCCTATAGGTATTGTGCAGAATCCAGATCCACTCTCTAAAGTCCATTATTCCTTCTGATAAACCCTTCATCTTGTTCTCCATGGAGACACAGAACCTTCTAAAGCCCTACTAGCTCTGTTCTGTACCTCTACAATGCAATGCTCTTTTAAACGATGAAGTCTCCCTCCAATTCCTTTCTTTGCATGTTGGAGAATGAATTAACATTTTACTCTTTTTATTCTTCTTAGGGCTGACTAATAGAATCATGCTAGCTTCAACCCTGGTTCGATGTACTTCAGGTATCGCACCAGACTGCCACCCATCTCCGCTTCATTCTCACTTCTTCGCCATTTCTCAATAACTCTTCTTGAGTCAACTCAGGCTAGTGGTCTGTATGACCATCTCCTTCAATTATGTATCCAACAACGCGAGAAGATCAAGACCCATCATTTGTTCGACGAAATGCCTCAAAGACTAGCCCAAGTTTCAAGAACAGGCAAAATCATCCATGCCCAGAGCATCAAGTTTGGATTTTGGTTGACTGACTTGCTGCCAAATGCGATTGTTGATCTATATGCCAAGTGTGGCAATGTGGGGTTTGCTGAAAAGGCATTTAGTAGGCTTGAAAAGGGAGATATTTTGGCTTGGAACTCGGTATTGTCAATGTATTCGAAACAGGGAATGTTGGAAGAAGTTATTAGCTGCTTTCTGTCATTGCAGAATAATGGGGATGAGGTGTTTCCAAATGAGTTTACAATTGCCATTGTTTTATCTGCTTGCGCAAGATTGGTGAATCTTGAGTTTGGTAAACAAATACACTGTTATGTTGTAAAAATGGGTCTTGAATTGAGCTCTTTTTGTGGAGGTTCTCTCGTTGATATGTACGCCAAGTGTAATTGTTTGGCTAGTGCGAGGCTGGTTTTTGACGGAGCAATACACCCTGATAAAGTTTCTTGGACATCTATGATTGCTGGGTACGTTCAAGTTGGTTTGCCAGAGGAGGCACTTAAAGTGTTTGAAAAGATGCAAAAAAATGGCCATGTTCCAGACCAGGTGGCAGTTATTACCACCATAAATGCATTTATGAGTTTAGGAAGGATGGCTGATGCATGTTCCTTGTTCACCCAGATTCCTAATCCAAATGTCATAGCATGGAACGTGATGATTTCTGGACATGCACAGAGAGGTTATCTAAGTGAGGCTATTAATTTTTTTGAGAATATGAGAAAATCTGGGGTTAAGTCCACTCGATCTACATTAGGAAGTGTTTTGAGTGCCATTGCTAGTTTAGCAGCTCTTGACTTTGGCTTAGTAGTTCATGCTGAGGCCATCAAACAAGGATTAGGCTCTAATGTGTATGTGGGCAGTTCTTTAATCAGTATGTACTCTAAATGTGAGAAAATGGATGCTGCTAAGAAAGTATTTGAGGAGTTAGATGAGAGAAATGTTGTCTTGTGGAATTCGATGCTCGGTGGTTATACGCAGAATGGGCAAGCAGAAAAAGTCATGGAATTGTTCTCTCAGATGAAGGCATCTGGTTTTCAGCCGGATGAGTTCACATATACTAGTATTCTTAGTGCATGTGCTTGCCTGGAAAATCTAGATACTGGTCGCCAGATGCACACAGTTATTGTAAAGAACAAATTTGCATCAAATTTGTTTGTTGGGAATGCCTTGGTTGATATGTATGCAAAATCTGGGGCTCTCAAGAAGGCAAGACAACAATTTGAGCACATAAAAAATCCAGACAATGTTTCATGGAATGCAATTATTGTTGGATATGTGAAGGAAGAGGATGAGATTGAAGCTTTCAACATGTTTCGAAGGATGCATTTAAATGGAATCATGCCTGATGAAGTGTCCTCGGCCAGTATTCTTAGTGCCTGTGCAAATATTCAGGGTCATAAAGAAGGGAACCAAGTCCATTGTTTTTCAGTCAAATCTGGCCTAGAAAATAGTCTCTACACCGGAAGTTCCCTTATTGATATGTATGCTAAGTGCGGGGCTACTGAAGCTGCATATAAAGTTCTCTCTAGCATGCCAGAGCAAAGTGTGGCCTCTATCAATGCTATGATAGCTGGATATGCAGAAAGTGATTTAGAGAAAGCAATGATACTGTTTCAAGAGATGCAGGTTGATGGATTGAAACCATCTGAAGTGACCTTTGCAAGCCTTTTAGATGCCTGTGATGGACCTCATAAGTTGAATCTTGGAAGGCAAATCCATTGTCATGTACTGAAGAGGGGCCTTTTATATGATGAGGAGTTCTTGGGTGTCTCACTTCTGGGAATGTACATCAACTCCCATAGAAATATAGACTCAAAAATGCTCTTCTCCGAGTTCACATCTAAAAGAAGTGCAATTTTATGGACTGCTATTATTTCTGGGCTCACGCAAAATGATTGCAGTGAGGAAGCTTTGTCCTTGTTTCTAGAAATGCGCAAGTACAATGTTCTGCCTGACCAAGCCACATTTGTTAGCATTCTTAGAGCATGTGCTCTATTATCTTCTCTGCAAGAAGGTAAACAAATTCATTCCCTAATTTATCACACTGGTTATGACTTGGATGAACTAACAGCTAGTTCCCTAGTAGACATGTATGCTAAATGTGGGGATGTCAAGAGTTCTGTAAAAGTTTTTGGGGAAATGAGGAACAAGTATGATGTTATATCTTGGAACTCAATGATAGTTGGGTTTGCCAAAAATGGTTATGCAGAAGATGCACTGCATGTGTTCCATGAGATGAAGCAAACATGTGTAGTTCCTGATGATGTCACATTCCTTGGTGTTCTCACTGCATGTAGTCATGCAGGCAGGGTATCTGAAGGCCGTGAGATTTTTGATGTAATGGTTAATTATTATGGGATTCAGCCAAGAGTAGATCATTGTGCCTGCATGGTTGATCTTCTTGGAAGATGGGGATCTCTTAAGGAGGCAGAGGATTTTATTGACGAGCTAAAATTTGAGCCTGATGCTATGATTTGGGCTACACTGCTTGCTGCTTGCAGAATACACGGAGATGAGATTAGGGGCCGGAGGGCTGCTGAGAAACTGATCGGCTTAGAACCCCAAAATTCTTCACCCTATGTGCTGCTTTCTAACATATATGCTGCATCTGGAAACTGGGATGAGGTTAATGCCTTGAGGAGGGCAATGAGAGAAAAAGGAGTAAAAAAATTGCCTGGATGTAGCTGGATTGAAGTGGAACAGAAGACAGATCTGTTCGTTGCGGGAGACAAGTTTCATCCTAAAGCAGATGAAATTGGGGAAGTTTTGAAGACTTTAGTGGCATTGATGAAAAAAGATGGATATATTCCTGAACTTGATTCGTTTTTGCATGATGAAGACTAAGGTTAATGCCTAGAGGAGAGTAATTTTGCTCTCTTTTCAGTTCATGCTATTATCCTTAATCAACGAGGCATCTTTATCAGGTTGAAGTCACTCATGGAAACTCCTATACCATTTGGCTAAAAAAGCATTGGACTATGATGGTGTGAGACAGATCTTTTCAAAGACCTGGAACTCATCTTTCACTTGTAGACTTCTAAGGCTCAGCATGAATGATTTGCCTTTGATCAAACCATTGAGCGGGACTCAACATGTGCATGCGAGCTGGTCCAAGATGGGAACTGCAGCACATTTGGCTGGTTTAATATACTCTTTTTCATTGCATAGAAACTTCAGGGCACAAGAGATCCTAGATTACATTTTAAGTTTTTGACCTCGAAGGTAATCCAATCATCAAAATATCAGTTCATTGCAGAAACTCGACCTGCTTCTCATTTTGTTTGTGGAAAGATCACAAAGCTAATTGTTTTTTGTTTTGATATCTGAAAACTTACAACCTACTACATTTTTCTTTGCTTTAGGGCTAATTTCAGAGAAGAGACAGTGGAACTACAAGGGAAGAAGCTCCAAGTAGCTGCTTGAGATGTGAAGGTGAAAGTAGTAAATCTTAGTTGTTGTATACAAAATTCTAATTATTATTTTTCTTTTTTATGATTATTTGTCATTTCATAGATTGATTCATGGAAGAATTTATCACAATCTCTCTCAACTCTATACGAGAAAGCCATTATGCCATGTTTGGGAATTCCTAGAACTCAAATTACAAGGAAATTTTCTTCATATTTTCTCTCAAGTTTTTACCTTCACTTCTCCTCTGACACAAAAGACTACAGGTATACACAAAGAACCGACTTTTAAGACTCAGTAAGACCAAACCTCGCGTAGGAGTTCAAACCTTACATTTTCACCACCGTGGCCAGTGTGCTTGTGTTTTTCATTTACATTTTCATCAGCTTTGATGGTCGGAGATGATGGCAATTTTTCGACAATGGATGCAAGAGGAGAATCCAATTCCTCCAGTTCTTCGTCGCTGGTATATCCTTTGCTCTGTATTTCAGACACATTCCGTGAAAGTTGAGATCTCTCACCTGCCTCTGCAACCTTTTTGGCAACGTCTGCAGTGGAAGGAGGGGTATAGATGACTGGAGCAGCTGTATAAGGGAAGCTTCTAGCTGATTCTCCAGATATCCTCCGCCCTACAATGCTCTTTAACAAATGAAATAATAGAATGACGACAGGTTATCAGTGCAACTTTCATACTTGGAGAAATTCCAAAAACAAAGAGAGTAACTCATTTGACACTTTAATCATAAAGAAATGGACAAACAATCAGCATTGCTAGAGAAAACCCTGCCATGGTTCAAAACTAATCTGATGATTAATTGCTTTCTTCACCAGAGGACCAAATAGATTCTTGACAAATAAAAAAAAAAAGGGGGCTCAAAGGAATGGCAAGTCATACCTCAGCATTCAGTGCCTCTAGTACAGGACCTGGAACAGCATCTGGACATAATTCATCAGGTGTAAAGTTGCAGAGTATTCGTTTAACCAATGAAAGACTGATTGATGGGCACACCTGAAACATGATAAGAGATATTCAATGAACTTAGCAATGTATCATCTAATAAAAATATAGCATTTTAACTATTTAGAGCTGGTTAAAAAAGTAGTGTATTCAGAAATGAACAATAAAAGAAGTATATGGACTTCATTAATCAACCTCCATTCTGATAGAACGATCCATTAACATGTCCTTTGGAAGCATCAAAAGATTGCTAAGTTCATCAAGGAGAAGAAAGGATTTTGGCTTTCGCTCTCCACCATGCCCAAAATCATCATCATTGATAAGCTCATCTTCTTTTTGAAAATCACCAGTATCCATGCCCACCATATCAGTAAGCCATCTAGACCAGTTGCCAACCTGCATACAAAAAGGCTTCTCCCTTACAACATTTCACATGTAACCCAATGAACATTTACAGCAATGCAATGGGTTACATCAATTAGGATGGAGTACTGAAACATCCAACTCTTTGATTGTCCTTCATTGCAATGCAGAAGCATGAAGCAAACTACCATCGCACTGGCTAGAATTTTCTTCCTTGACCAGTTGATGATAAAGGTGTAATGATGAAGGGAAAAAGAGAAAGGTTTTCACGCAAGTATTAACGTAATTATTCATTCATGAGAAAGGTGTTGAAGAAACATGTACTTAGGAAGTTTGGTATCTTCTACATCATTTTTAACCCTAGAGGTGAAGAGTATGTTCATCACAAGAGCCACTACTATTTGTAGCCAATTGCAGAATATTTGTTACAACGTGGCAAAGTCGAACCCCACTCAGATGATTTAGTGAAAGTCTCACAGGCAATAATTATATTTATATATACTAAGGAACCAAACAAGAATGATAGAAATATAATAAATACCGAATTTTTGAGTTGAGCCCCGGTTCCAAAGCTCAAATCCCCAGCTGGTATAGGCAAAACCTTGGAATTTACTATAGGATCAGATACAGGATCAGTGGGGATCTCATGGGCTGACTCCCGCAGAATAGCATTGAACATTGCCACATCTAGCCTGGCGATGCATTGTTCCATAACCTAATGAAGAAGTTATATCCAATTAACTCACAGAAAGAAAGTCAGGGAACAAAGATGAGGGATGCATCAGAAATTGCTTAAAATTTAAGGATCAACGATCAATCTTCTGGCTTCAACTTATATATAGTGCCTGTGGCCGTACATATGACCTGAAACTGAAGTATTGAAAGTGCAAACAAACATAACCACTTACCATTCTTGCCAGGACAGGCAAGCAACCGCACTCATGGCCTCCTGCTCTAACAGGACAAATACGTTGAAAAGCATCTTGGAAGGCTTTTTTCCACAGATTGACTGAAAAGCTTCGTTGTTGCAGATCACCTAAGGCAGGTCCCAACAACTTTCCAACCGTGTTTGTAGTTGACAAACCCTCTGCTTGAGATTGCATATATGGAGTCAAAGCCTGAGTAAAGAAAAGCAAGTCATAATCAATCATTGCGCTTGTACTTGAGAGGTCATAAACCAAAATGCTTCAATTAAATAAAGTCTTGACGATTTGGCCAAAAAGAAAACAAATGCAATTTACCTGCCACCATAGTGACTCAACTATTCGTAAAAATATCCAAGATTCCACTCTTTCTAGAGCGGATGTGAAGGTTCCTGTATCCTGCCAATCATCAATAAGCTGCACAAAATTGTTCACTTGTTTGCTGCTGGTACCTCCCTTCCACTTCAAGGTTGTAAACTTCACTCCACTCCTGCTACTCCCATTTGATTCTGGAAGCTTCGTAACTGGACTTGAGTTACGTGAACTGCCAAATGCCTGAGAAATGATCTCCCTCAGCACTATGGTATTTGACAACCAGAAGCTCAACCTTAGTCAAAAAAAAAAAAAAAAGAAGAGAAGAGAATTTAGTAGCCTATAATAGTTGACAAAATACTGTCAACACAAAATATGACTCTTCTGGCATTACCTTGAAACATCATTACTGCAGGAATTCGCAATTAGAATCAGCCCAGATACAGTGTTTTTAGCAATTGTAGCCCTCTTGCTTTGAGTCCAGTGCTTGCAAGCATGAATGTAGAGTCTAGAAAGGCGTTGAGCAGGGGTGTGTACCTTATGCACCGAGCTACCGTGCTCAGGAACAACAGAATAAAGTGAAATCTCAAGAGCAGCTACTTCTCTCAGCTCCTCTTCAAGTTTCTCAATTCTAATCTCCATCTCATTGATCTTTTCTTTTAAAGCTGAATTATCTTCATGTTGAATATTTTCTTCAGGATCAACAGGTTCATTGTCACTTTCAACACTTCGCGCACCATTTGATGTCTCGTCCACAACATCAGTTTCTTTTATCTCCTCAAAATTCTTGTTATCAACTTCTTCAGAAGTATCTAATGAAGGTTTAGTAGGAACTTCCATATTTCTAGACTTCCTCTCAGATGAAATCTTGGTGGCAACTTTAGAAGTCCCTCTTTCAGTTTTCACAGGTTTTTTAGGAGTTCTGCTTACTGGCTTATCATTTTCGCTGTCAGAACTCATTTTAGATCCAGGGGCACTCCTATCTGAGGAAACCTTAATGGGAACACTTTTGTGAACTCCAGAAACTCTTTCTACTTTCTTATCCTCAGTTGTCAAGGAATCCCCTTGAGATGATGTTGAATCTTTTATTGTCTCGGTATCTGATTCTTCTTCCTTCTCCTGATTTGTATCTCCCTCCATAACGCTAGAGCAATCATCTAAAATTCCATCCTTGTTCACTTTAGTGATCAGTGCATTGGTTCTTGAATCCTGAGACATTACTTCAGACCTGTTAACATCATCCACATAATGTATAACCATGTTTTCATAAACTTAGAGGGGCTCTGGGCCCATGTTTGAGTCACTTACTAAAGTACCACGTTGAGATCTAGCATTTGACATTTTAGATTGATTTTCTTTCTCGTTCAAAGTTTTGATACCATTCCCTTGATGTAGTTTATTGCCTTTCCTTTCAGTTCTTCCCATTGGCCTTGATTGGACAATATTTGGAGTTTTGCTCTTGCTAGTCTCTTTCATACTTGTGTTGATTCACTTTTTTATGCTAAAAATGGTGAATCTGTCATGACAAGAGAACAAAAATCAATAACTCTAGGCCTATAGTAGAAACTCCAAACTGAATTCAAAAAGGGATTGAAGTTGCACGTACTTATCAAGAGACAGTCTTCATCACTTTCGACATGCAGTATGATATTCTTGAAGCCCTTTGCTTAGTTGAGTGGTCTGCAATAAGAAAGCAGCCTGGAATGGATCATCTTCTCTGGCAATAGATTTTAAAATATACTCAATAGAATCTTGGCAACAAGAACACATGCATGCTTTATTTCAATACTAGTGGATGCCAGTGACTAGCAGAGAACTAACAACCCATAAAGAAAGCAATAGGTAAAAGCCTTGGGAAAATGAGAATGATTACATTTTAGCAGCCTCAACATCACAGCCCTGTTTTCATTGCTTCTTTAAGCAATTAAAAAATAAATAAATAAAAAAAAACCAAAATACACGAAGTGAAAGGATTGAGGATACTTCAAAAGAAAGCAAACCAAAATATGTAATTGGAAATGAGAACATAAAAGACAGGATGCACACGATAATTAGACCAAAGTACACAAAGTGAAAGGATTGAGCACTAAACAATCTTTAGTCACAATCACTTGGATGGAACAGTTTGTCTGCAAATGTTTCTCTCTATTGCGACTCATGACTGGCATATTCTCCAATTGATCGAGATCCAATTCAAGATGTTCGCTCAAAATCCCTAATCATTTTCACTCCAAAAACAAAAAGAGAAGATTTATATATGTAAATGTCCAAAATTTTGACAATTTAATTTATTTCTAAAGAACTTCAAGAAACTGATCCGAGTCAGAGCTCTACAATTGCGAAGATTGATCATCAACAAGGAAAGATTCTCGGAAACAAACAAACAAGCAGAGAGAGTTCGAAGATTCAAAGAGAAAATCTAAGCAAGCAGATTGGAACGAACTGAAACTCGAGATGAAACAATCACCAGAAACAGATCAAATGCAAAAATCATGAAGCGAAAATTGAACGGAGAACAACTTGATCCGATCACTGAACTTCCTCAGATCATACCATTCCAAAATCCAAACGCTAAAAGGACAATGACAATGCTCTCAACGACTAGAACGACGGTTAAAGCGGTAACGCAACAACAGAGATGGCCAAAACCAAGAGCGAAAGCGAAAGAAGAATAGAAGAGGAGTCGAACTTACTCACCGGAAAGCTTTTCTCCTCCTCCGATGACGATCGAAGTTGCAGAAACGCATCCCCTAGGGATTTTCACTCTCTAAAACAACATTTTCCTTCACTTTTCTCTCCGTTTTCGTGCAGTTTCAACAAGGAAACTTGATTCTCGGAACCAAACAAACAATCAGAGAGAATTCGAAGACTCAAAGAGAAAATCTAAGCAAGCAGATTGGAACGAACTGAAACTCGAGATGAAACAATCACCAGAAACAGATCAAATGCAAAAATCATGAAACGAAAATTGAACGGAGAACAACTTGATCCGATCACTGAACTTCCTCAGATCTTACCATTCCAGAATCCAAACGATAAACAGATAAAGACAATGCTCTCAATGACAGAACTACTAAATAGTTAAAGCTGTAATGCAACAACAGAGACGGCCAAAAGCACAAGATAAAGCGAAAAAAGAATAGAAGAGGAGTCGGACTTACTTACCTGAAAGCTTTTCTCCTCCTCCGATGAAGATCGAAGTTGCAGACACACAATCACTAGGGATTTTCACTCTCTAAAACAGCATTTTCCTTCACTTTTCTCTCCGTTTTTGTGCAGTTTCTTCTTCCTTCTGGGCAGCGTGGAAAGAGAGCGGGAAGTTGAGATGATGGCGTTTAAAAAGGAGTGGGTTTGGTGGCTCTGCAGCGGGTGTCAGTGGGGAGGGTGACGGGGAAATGCCCGTGGCGGTTGTGGCGTCATGTGTAAGTTTCCTTTTTGGTACCGAACGGAAACTGTCCATTATTTCGGTTGTTGAATTACCAGTTTGCCCTGCTCTAACAAATTAATGGTTTGTCTTTTATTTTTAATTTAATTTATTATTATTATTATTATTATTATTATTATTATTTATGTTTCATTTCATCAACCAATAAGGAACCCAAATAATGTAAAATAAAATAAATAATAATAATGAATCCAATGAGATCTTTTATTTTATTTTATTTTTTTAAATTGCATAACGAAAAACATCTTTCTCTTATCTTTTAAAATATGTTTGCTTTAATTGTATATCGAGTTGAGAGAAATAAAGGTAAAATCTTTTAACACGAATCAAATTATAATATTTTTAATATGTTATAATTTGATTAGTAAAAAAATCTTTTCATTTTTTTCATTTTCTTCATTTCTCTTAACCTAAACATAGAGTAAAAGAAACATGTAATAGTGGAAGGGCAAGAGATTCTTCATTTCTTTCCATTTCTCTTCCCTTCCTTTCATTTGAATAAACCTCCCCATTTCAAATCTTTTGCTAATCAAATAAAAGAATTTTCATCCTCCCCTCCCCTCCCCTCCCCTCCTATTTTCCCAAGCTAAACAAACTTTTACTCTTATTGATAAAAATTATCATTAAATTATTTAAATTATTGATAGATATTTCTTTTTTTATTATTAGTTTTTACAGAAAAACAAGATCTAATATACCACTTTGCTTCCAAATTTTATTTTTCATATAGTAAGCCCATCAAAAACTTTTTTAGGGATATATTATTTAGGGTTAAATTTATTTTTGAAGATATTAAGTCCTCATCTCTGAAAACAAGCCATCTGCATTGTATTAAAAAATTCACTAAAAATTATCTCTAATTTTGAATTAATAAGGTGGTAAACAGACTCCCTCTTATCAATCACAGGCCCTAGGCCCCCTTGGCAACGTTTTTCGTTAGGAACATCTGCTTCTTCAAAGTTCTAAAAGAAGTTCTCGGATCCCTGTCACGTTACATTGTATTTAACACCTCACATAATGCATCTAATTAAAACCAATTGACAATAAATAAAAGAGTCTTCTTTATATTTAATTCACATATCTTCTTAATATTTATCTTAACTACATGCATGCACTAATTCGCTACATAATGATTTTGTTCAAATCAAAAGCAATATTTTCAGAAAAGGAATGAAATCAAACTCCAAGTGTATCTGGTTGTGCTGTAATCAGCCATTTCATGACTCAATGACTCGATTGCAATGCTCAGAAGTAGTAGATGCAAAGAATGCTACGATATACAAGGAACATTATTATTATGCTAGGTTCAAAATTCAAGTTTTGAGATTAACACTCAAGGTTAATCAAAGATAACAGGGAATACGTTTGTCATTTGGAACAGAAGACTCACACCAGTGCTATAACACCCAAAAACTCAGTTCTGTATAAAGCATTTGGAACCGAAAACTCACACAAGTTTGTCATTAACATGGTGCAAAGGAAACACAACTATATGAAAAATTCTATCCATAAAGAAAGAAGGGGGAGCAATGGAATGAGGAGAGAAATCAAAGACAACAGGGGCTACGTTCATTGATGTCCTCATAATAGAAATAAATGCCACCACTGTACCATTGACATTGCAAACAACTAGAGAGGAAGGCATGCATGATACAAAATACATTTGGAGTTATTCCTAAGCCAAATGCAAGTTCTGATCTAAGAATGGAGAGGCAGCAAGTCAGCAGCAACAACAAGAGGAAGGACCAGCTATGAATAACTGTAAAACCAATCAAGCCATCAGATAGAACATAAAAGAATCACCCAAAAACAAGACGGTAGAGTCAACAAATGAAATGTTTTAGCATCCAAGTCTCAAGTTAACTGCTGGCAAGGTCTAGCACACATACATTGGACCTAGGTTCAAGTCTCCTTCCCTTCACTTTTCATTACAATATGATGATCATACTTGAGACTGCAAATTATAGTAGAAAGGAAATGGATAGTGGAAAGTTGGTGATAATAGGTTACATTTCTCAGCTACTACAATGCACTCATAGCCCTAGTTCCCATGTCCTTAAACAAGGCTCAGTTGAACAACATAATACTATATAGATTGTATACATTCGCCACTACTACATAGTTCTTTATAACCATGTAAAAGATAATGCATAACAAAATTGTTCTTCGATTTTTTCAGTCAAAACACCATCCATCCAAAAGATGGGGGTTTGAAGATGGTTGGCTGTATCTCAGATTCTCAATGAAAAGAATGGTAACACCATAACATCCTGCATAACCTACATTTCCCTTAGAGGCCACCATGTCAAATACTTAATAAGGAATATCTGTAGTTATTTTCCCACATAGGCTCCACTGACTAAAACTTAGTGCAACTCACTAAAATTTGACTCAATGCATAATTCCACAGAAACATCTATCACATTATTGATCATTCATTTCTAAACAAAAGTTTCCTAAATGTAGGGTGGTTAAGTGCACCTAAGCAGAACCAATAGACTTCACCAGATCATGGTAAATTCTTCTTGGAACCTTTGGAAAGAACTAATAACATGTATTGGGTACCAATCAATAAAAGTTCTTAGAAAGTCTTAAATCATTCAGTACCTGTACCACGGATTCGATTTTTACAGGCATTACACTGACACTAATGGGCACAAACTCATCACCAATTTTAACTACAAACTGTAATTTCAAGGATTAAAACACAAAATCCATTCAAAAGTGGAAAGAAACACTGGATTAGACCTCAGATTAGCCAACAATTTGTCTATATTGGAAGGATAAACCCAATTAAAACATTGAAATTAACAAAATTTAGGCAGTAAATCAACGAAGTACCAAATCCCACAATATTCAGAAAACCCTTATTCCAACTACAATTATCAACAAAAAGAAGTAAGTCCCATGGATCCATACTCAATTCATCCGAGGATGCATCCGAGAAAGTAGAGAACAATCTCAATCGGAAGACGACGATTCGGCAGCGAGCTTCTCGAGCGCCTTCTTGTGGGCCCAGGTCTCGATGGTGAGATCGGGCTTCGCGTTGAGACCTACTCCCAGGATTACGATCGTGAGGAAGCTGGTGATGTAGCAAGGCAGCTCCCAATCTTCCCATTTGCGGGATTGGCCGGGAGGCAGTGGTGTTCGATTGAAGAGGTAGCCATTAGGCCGCTCCTGGTGCCCCGGCGACGTCCATCGGCTGGGACCGGCGTGGCTGGAGGCGGCCCGGGAGAAGAGACGGTGGCGCAGCATGGTGGTCAAGGGCATGATGGCGCTTTGTCTAGGGGATTTCGGGCGGAGATTGGAAGTGAGAAGAAAGGAGTTTTGTTCTGTGGGAGTGCTCAATAACGACGTCGTTTCAATGCTATTGTAAAGGTTAAACATTTTTCTCTTTATGCAATTAGGTCCTCCAAAAAAGGGCTGAAATGAACAGGAGCCTGAAAATTAAAGTATTGTAAATGTTCAAATAAACCACCATGTTTCACTGTTATGCAGTTAAGTCGTCAAATTGATAATTTTGATTCCCCATCGCCAGTTTCTGGGCTCCTACTTGTTTGCATGTATGCTCATTAGAAATTTACAACAATAAGTCATAGTGTCCCTTAGATGTCATCCTAATGCTTAAGAGTTCGGTTTTTTAAAGAAATCTCGAATCCTAAACATGTTTATAGAAGCACTAAATCTATTTTTTTTTTTTTTAAATCTCATTATAGTAAATAATCTCCAAAATCCATACTCTTTGATCCAATCAATTCTTATTTACTAATGAGATAAAGAGATTAAAGAATTACAGGGATAAGATGAAGACACCAAGCTTCAGCTATAGAAAAAACAATTCTTCCACTTCACAGGGAAACTTCTCCAATCATCTATGTAGTGTTTCAGCATTGGTTTTGAGTATTTCAGTTTGGGAAAAATACAAGTAATCTTTCTTAAGGTAGATTGTTCACCCAGCGGAGTTGCTCTATCCTTCATCATGACAATCTGTCATCAGGTTATGAATGATGTCAGCTTGACTCTAATGTGATACTTGCTCTGCCGCAATCATCTCTAGCTAATTTTCATTTCCGATGTCCAGACCAACATCAATCTTTCTGTTTGAAGTTACTGCAATGCACTGATGTCCCGTTTTCTATATTTTCCAGAGTAATGTTGGTTTATATTGTAGCCTGCTCAACTCTTCACATTCTCCTGATGACCACAGGTATATTTTCAGTCTTTGATCCATCATAACTCACCAGTATTCTCCACAAGAACAAATTCCATCAACTATATGATGGAACCGGCTTTTATCCCTCAGAGACACCTCCCTCCTGTAAATCTTTGACATGAACTTGGCAAAGTTATGGCAATCAACACAAATTCGGAGGTTTTTTATCACACGAACTGGCACTCCATCAGAAGTAGCAATCAAACCAAAAGTCAAGGCCAGTTTCTCACTGTGGCCTAACAGTATCTTCTCCTTCTGCTCCTCATCAACATCATGTAAAACACAACTCAAGTCAGGAACATAGCCAGCTTCTTTGAACCTGACTGATAATTCCTTCACCTTTGCAAACACCTCTTCCCTTCTTGGATGGGAATGATCACTAGCGTGGAAAGTATGAAGGGTTTGATCAAGTTCAACCCAGCTTCTGCCAGGCTCTTTCTTTACAGCCTTCTCATTCATCAGATCCCTGACTCTTTTAACATCTTCCCATCTGGAAGCAGAGGCATATAAATTAGAAAGAATCACATAGTTGCCAGCATTTCCAGGCTCAATTTCTAGAAGATGGTGACCTACTAATTCACCAATGTCAACATTTGAGTGAACCCTACATGCACCTAGAAGTGAACCCCATACCGCAGCAGTTGGTTCAATCGGCATCTTCTTGACAAATTCAAAAGCTTCTTCTACTCGGCTAGCACGACCAAGCAGATCTACAACACACCCATAGTGTTCAATCTCAGGATGCACTCCATATTTTCCGTTTGCCATCTCATCAAAAATTTCCAGTCCTATATCTTCCATCCCTCCATGGCTGCAACCCAACAAAACACCCAAAAGAGTGACACTATCAGGTTTAACTTTATTTTCTTCTCTCATTGATTTGAAAAGCTCAACAACCTCTCTTCCCATCCCATGCTTGCTATACCCCACAAGCATTGCATTCCAAGAGATAATAGTTCTCTCAGGCATGTTATCAAATATCCTTCTTGAGTAAGTGAGGTTCCCACATTTTGAGTACATATCAATCAAAGAGTTCTGGAGAACTATAAAGAAGGGCAATTCACATCTCAAGACATGGTTGTGAACTTGCTTACCAAGATCTAGGGCAGCAAGCCCAGATAATGCAGTTAGAACACTGGCATAAGTGACATAATTTGAAGTCATTCCTTCTGTCTTAAACCTTCGGAATAGTTCTAATGCCTCTTCATCAAGGCCTAATTGGGCATAACCTGAAATTATTGCGGTACAAGAAACAACATCTCTTTCTGGCAGGTGCTCAAAAACTTTTCGAGCTTCATAGATTCTACCAGATTTGGCATACATGTCGAGAAGGGAACTTCCAACATAGATGTGGAATTCAAAATTTCTCTTGATTATAAGACAGTGGATTTGCCTTCCCAGTTCAAAACCAACAATACCAATACAAGAAGTAAGGACAGTGGCAAAAGTGAACTCATTTGGTTCCCCATCTGCAATAATTAAATCTTATCATCAGTAACGTGAAACCAGTAATGACACATGAAAAATGTTTATTGTGCCACAAAGAAAGGACCTAAATCTGCCTCTAGTCAAGATACAAAACCTGTTATCTATAATAATTCAAATCTCTAACCAAAACAAGGATTCCAAGTTTGTAAAAAGCATAGTAAATTCATTTGCTAGCAATGATTTCTGAACCCTCATATTAAGGCCAATAATATGCACATAGATACACCAATACCATTAGTCTTTATTTCATGTTATGCTGTCAAGTTTTCCAAGTAAGATCGACAGCACAAAATATGGAGGAAAACTAGCAAATCAAATGCATGCTTTCAAAGCCAAAAATGTAGACTACCACCATGATTGCGCATAATTTTTTTGGCTGTGTCTGCATATAAAATGGTAAACAATATTTTAGCACAACATTTGATAATCTAAATTACCATCATACCTGACCTTAACATCTGCATAAAAAGATCTAACGCTTCAGAGGCAAACCCTCTTTGAGAATAAGCCGAAAGCATAGCGGTCCAAGAAACCACATTCCTCTCGGGCATTTCATCGAGCACACGCCGCGCATCTCCCAAACAACCACACTTACTGTAAAACACTATAAGCCTGGTCCTCAGGTACACGGGTGGCAAATATCGTGTCTTGATCATGTGGGCATGGACCCTTTGCCCTTCCCTGATTGCCCTTTTGTTTATGCACGCGTTCAAGATGGTATCGTAGCCATGAAACTTCATTTCAATCCCTCGCATGGCCATTTCTAGCAATGCCTGTTTCAGGTGACCGTTGGCGCAGAGACTATCTAAACGAGTTTGTGGGTCTGGCGGGAAAGAGGAAAGAGTGAATTGGCGGGTAATGAAGGAGTTAATGGATGACAAAATTGTTGTTTGTTTGAGGTTAAGGAAAAGGGAAGGGCCATTGTTCTTTTGAAGTAGATTCATGTTCCTAAATCATAAACAGAGTATTACCAAGAAGATAAAATATATTACACAACCATTGCTTTCTCCCTCATAAACTGAGTATCCCACAGCGTTTTTTCATATACGAAGCATTTTATAAGAATATTACTTTTAATTAATATTTTGTATAATTTAGTAGTTATATTAGTAACATATAAGCTTACTTTCAAAAGTAATTATTAAATAATATTAGAATTTTTCCTATAGACTTATAGTTAATACCAACAAAACCTACAACACTTTGTAACATTTCCAAATATAATCTTCCTCAGTAACATTCCATGTCTCGAACTTTTGCTAATATTTAAAAATCATATAATTATAATATCGAGCAGATGCCCTATTTATACCATACACATTATTTTTTTTATGGGCAACATTTTTTATAACTTTCACTCTCAATTATCACACTCTATAATTTGAAACCAACAAAAAAATCTCAAATTACTAACAAAGCCATGGTGCAAAGAGGGGGTTTAATCATTAATTTTTTGTACAAATAGAGGATTTAATAGTTAATTTTTAAGTTTTTATGGATTTCAAAATTATGAAGGTTGTTAACCGAAAATAAAATTTTTTTAAAATATTAACCACAAAAAAAAAAATATGTAAGATGTAAATAAAATGTTTGATTTTACAATATCATATATTATCGTAAATTTATAAATTTATAATTATAATATGTCATATTTATTTTCATTTAAAAATTTAATTGTCATATTATATTACATACATCTAATTATTTAATAATACTTTGTGATAGTAAGCCTAGGTAGTACTGTTACCATGTCATTGCCGAACAACATTCGAGTTTGCCCTTGAGAGAGTCTCAAACTTCTGAGCATGGCATGCACATGATTATTAAGGGCATATTTGTCATTTCACACCCAACTTGACATTTTCAAGCCCCGGTTTGTTGCAGTGATTTGAGTCCCACACTCTTTTCTTTTCTTTTCTTTTTTTTTTTTGAACAATATCTGAATATTTAAGTCCCATACTTTAAAGCTTGGAGGTCTCAAAATCCTGATTTTAACTTTGGTTGTTGTTAACATCCCAATTCCCTTTCTCCATTAAAAAAATTTAAAAATATAAAAAACACAGTAAACTACATTGATCACAGAAAAACAAGAAATGGGTGTTAATATCCTCAATTCAACTTTGCTCCCCACTTTAATTAAGGTTCAATTTTTTGAAAAAATTAATAAAAAAATAATTTTTTTATGAATTTTCTAGTTCTAAGATGGATGATTTATCTTTGATCAAACTAAGGATGAATTAATCTCAAAATACATGGAAACTCACTTAAGAATAGCTTGGCCACAAAAAAAGAAATAAAGAAAAAGAATGGAACATACAAAAACAAGGAATTTAGGATCCTATCTCATCAACAAGAGATGAAGAAGGCAAGAAGCCATGTTCCATAATATAATAGTTAAGCCACAGTTCCATCATCTTAGTTTTACAATATGAGTCAATCAATCTTGGATATAAGATAAATGATAGTTGAAATTTCTTGTCTCCAGTGGAATGGAATCAGGGTTTCCAGCTGACTTGCGATAAATTGAAGACATGGAAACCCAGGATCAATGTAGAAGCCTCTCCTCTACTTCATGCTAACTTCTGATACTATTAGATATGATAATATTTACAAACACTAGCTACTAGCAGAACCTCTTTCAAATAATATCTACCAGTGGAATCTCAATCTGCCTTCAAAGCTCCATTTTTGATTGACTTGAGTGCAAAGTTGCTGCACCACAGTTCAGTTTGAAGTTAGCCTAATAGCCTGGATGACTCGTCATTAAAAGAAATAAACACCACATGATGTTTGCATGCAATATGAACTGGTTCATCAGTTCATGCCAATAATTATGAACCTACATGTATCAAGAGAATGAGGTTCTCTTCCTTTCTTTTCTGTTCTTTGTTTTTGGGTATATAGAACACGGATCTCTTTGCATACACACAAAACAGAGAGTAATAACAGCCCACAACCCCAACCAAACTATCCAAGCACACACAGACACCCAATTCTCAATTTTCTCTTCCATAATCAATGATAATGATAAGGTATACTAGCTGATGCAGACAACTACAGACGGTAATAATCTGAACCAAAAAAGAAAAGAACCTTTTTCCTTATCTACCTGAATTTGTCGAAGAGTCATAGCTTAAAAGAGAGTTCTCAGGAGTAATGTAGTTATGGCAGACCTCTTCTCTTTCCCAACCAGGCTGGTGGAGTATATCCAGGTGCCATTGTTGTTGACATTGTTGTCTGTTTCCACCTACTTGGGCTTCAGGCCACATCACAGGCATAACCATGCTGGGGAAGTTACTATCCACTAGAGATGTAGCCTGCATGTACTAAAGAAATAATGAAAACAGCTAAAATTTGTCAGGGGACTAAAACAAAAAGGAAAAATGACAGGTGCAGAGCTATTCATGATACAAAACATAATGGAGCATTGAGTAGTTACTCCAGAGAAATATCTTTATAATTTATAAACAACATTATCCATGAGCACACTTAAGCCTCTGGGCCACATTTAATTACCTACTTATGTAATATACCAGAATACCCAAGTCCCATGAGGTAGTTGCATTTTTCATGAATTTCACAAACAGGTTTCCTACTATCATGCGCCTTAGTAACTACATACGCCATTTAGAAGTCTGGCTGAAGGCTTTCAGCTGAACATCACCATTTTGACCAGTCACATTCTAAGAAAATAGTTCACCATGAATGCAGATGGCAGCTCCCGATGATAAGATAAGACTTAACTGTCCTCAAAATACTAATGAAAAAGAATGAAGGCATTAACCATTTTAACCAGGTTGTATTTTCCATTTCATTCACATATCAAAATGCACAGAACTTGGCAAATCTACATTTCACAACCAAGTCACCAACAACCATGGACTAAGTATTTTTCAAGAAGGTAATGTCATCTGCAGATCTCTAAAAGGAATATAGTTCCAGCCAAAGCCAAGAAAGAGTTACATGAAATACCAGTAGGGCTTCCAATGTTCTTAATCTAGAACAGACAAAAGGTTTAAAGGTGTCTAATTCTTACTTCTGGAGTGAATATGCTATCAAAGTTGAAATCAATTCTTGGGTTAACTGCTGCAAGTCTCATTGATAAGAACTGCAATGAAAGACAAATACAAGAAGAATTAGAACACTTTTGTAGAATGCAATTTAAAGATTACCACCACACAACATGGGTTGCCAACATATAATTATTCTCATACCAAACCAACATGTACTTTCTTTGCAAGTGAGTTGGAAACAGGGAAATGCACCAAAATTTTCAAAAACATAAATAATGAAGAGTTATTTGAAAAGCTTTTCAGACAACATCCAATGGAACCTACCCAGCTGTCATGCCCTGCATCTTTCCCAGATCTAGGGATTGCTTGCGGTGGTAAAGAAGACAACTTGTATAAAACCACATTCAAAATTCCACTGCAAACAATTTCCCTCCCTTTAAGTTCTAACCTCATACTCCCTTTGTCCCAAAATAATTGTTGTTTTTTCACTTTGAATTTGTCTCAAATTAATTGTCATTTTTTCATTTTTCAAGGTAGACAAATATTTTTTTCCTACTTTAACTCTATCATTATCTATTCACTTTAATTAATCATCCAATCACAAAAAACCTTTCTCTTTTTTTTTTTTTTGTTTTTTATTTCTTTTTGAAGAATATTATAGATAAATATAAATATTGTCCCCAAATCCTTAATTTGGGGAAAAAGTCAATAAACAAAAGGTTATTTTGGGACAGAGGTAGTAGTAATTAAGAATAATAAAATTGATAACCCAGATCTACAGTTCTCACCTCCACTTGACGCTGTAGAGACTGCACATGATTGATGATTTCCTCAAGCACCAATGCTGTACCAGAAATCTGTTGCACAAGACAAATATTAGGTTATTAAGTTTTACACAACATTTTTGATAGATTCAAATTCAAAAGCATTTTGAAAAGAAACCTAACAACAGATCAATTAGCTTGCAACTCCCAATACCAAAGAAAATAAAACAGTGTCACTGAAGGCTTTTAGTGCAGTATATTGGCTCCTAATATTGAAAAAGTAAAAGAAAAATCTATAATTTGACCTTTTCTTTTATTATTCTTATTCAAATACGTTTGCAGGAAGAACACCCCTTAATCCAGCTCCAAGGATGTGTGCACATAAGCAAGAGGACAGGTGGATGCATGCACATAAAACCAACAAGTCAGAGCAAAGGCCAGTGTGCCAACTGAACCAGAACTAGAAGAGAGAGGAAGGGGGCGGAACAAAAGAGGTGTCATTTCAATAACACCAATTAAACTTTCAAGATGGTACCAGACCCACATGAAACTCTTCTGCTAGCAAGATTCCAAAAACGAACTTCTGAAATAAATGAAAAACTTAAGGTAGTGCAGATGGATGCCCCAACTGAGCACTAGAGTCTAATAAAAAGGACTACAGTGGAAGTACACTTTGTTGTACATATTTCACTAAAACAAAGCCCAACATGTGTACCACACCAGCTCTGCTTTACATGACCTGACTCCTAAAGGATGCAAAGTCTAAGCAAGCAAGAGCTTATAGCTATTAATATCAAAGACAAGTTTCTAACAACCAGGAATATTGTCTTTTTGAAACTTAAGAAAATCGGTACTGGTGGTCCCAGGAAAGAACGGTTGTTCACGGCTTTGATCTTTTAGTCTTCACTAATTTGCAGTCACCTCAAGAGCAAAAGGTGGAAAAGAATGGGCCAGATCCCAGTCCCATCTCTTAAAATAAACTATCATGCCATAAATCCAGCTCATACTCTGCCCTTGACTATATTGATTTGTTAATGAACGAACTATCACGCCATGTCTCCATGTAGTTAGTTGGGGTGTTTGGCATGTGAATTTGTTAGAGGAATTTTCTTTCATCATCCTTTTTCTCATCATCCAAATCGAGAATGGATATCAAACTCGTTGGAAAAGTTAGTATTGATTTAAATATTAAAAAAAAAAAGGGACCCCATAGACATGATTTAATCTAAACATGTCAAGTTGTCAACTAGAACTTCAATGCAATTTCCAGCCAGCATTCTTTTTCTCATCATCCAAATCGAGAATGGATATCAAACTCGTTGGAAAAGTTAGTATTGATTTAAATATTAAAAAAAAAATGGGACCCCATAGAC